TCCATCATGCTGAGAAGCAGCACCTGTGCCCCCTCTCCCTGACTCTGGGGCTTGTGCTTCCCGTTAAAGCTCTTTATCCTGCAGTAGCCTTCTACCTTCATTTAAGGCCCAGGGATAGGGAACATCTGGCCCATGAACCACAAAAGGTCCCAGAGATCATTTGGTCTGGCCCTGCCAAGGCCCTAGGAGTGAGTTAATTCAATGTTTGACCAAATAGCGCAGGCCAATTGTTAAGCTGATGACTTTGAATGGCCCGCAAATGCTGTTATAAATATCCGCGTGGCCCTCGGCAGGAAACGGTTCCCCACCTGAAAGCTGACAGGAGGAGTGGCTTCATTTAAGGTCTTCTCCCAAAGGAGCTAACCTCACAGCAGAATTTAAATTCATCAGCGATTCTTAACACTTTCTGTATAGAACACACACAAGGGTGTCCACTGACTTTTATCAGAACTTCTAAAATAAGATCTAAAAGTTACCCTGACCTGTGAACCAGGAGGTCAGGGTTTGATTCCCGGTCAGGGCATATGCCGGGTTGCGGGCTCCATCCCCTGTGTGGGGCGTGCAGGAGGCAGCCCGTCTATGATTCTCTCTCATCATTGATGGATGTTTCTATCTCTCCCTCTCCCTTCCTCTCTCTAAAATCAATAAAAATGTGTTTTAAAAATAATGATATAAAAATAAATGAAAAGTTAAGCCAAATAAAAGGCTATGGATTCCTGATACACTTCCACTATACCCTAGAGTTTCTTGAAACATGTTGAGGGGGGAACAGATTCAACCCATCCAGCTGCTTCCCTTACCCAAGAGTCAATGGGCCCAGAGGAGACAGTGCTGGCTGGACTGAGGGCTCCAACTCCCAGGTTGCTTCTGCATACACAAACGGGCTGGTTTCTTCCCTTTATACACATTTTGGCCTAAAAGCCTCCTTGTTTCCCATAGGGCTCCTTACCAGGGACCCGTCTGCAGATGAACTGTTAGAAAATATTATTCACCCCCCCACCCCCCTTTCCACACACACACACACACACACACACACACACACACACACAGCTGTAGGAGAACTGAGCTCCAAATACTAGTACTAGGTCAGCCTAGACTTGGCCAACCCCGGCCCTCCCCAGGCCTCAGGCTGCCCTCCACAGCACACAGCCCGCTCTGGGCAGGTCACTGTCTCCTGGGTCTTAGCCCCCATGGGGAAGGCGACCCCACAGCTCAAGGTCCTAGGGTTCTGTGACAGGGCCTAGCGGACCCCCACCTCCCCACCCTGTTCCTAGTGGGACTAGGCACCTGCCCCTAGTCACAGGCTGGCAGTGGGCGGCAGAAATATATTTTGAACAGACATCCATATCCTGTCCTCAGAAAGAACCTCTTCCCCTTCCTGGAGCAGTGGAGGTGGAGGGCGGGCGCTTTACGCTGGCAGAGTTGGCAGCTAGAAGGCGCATCCTCAAGACCCCAGCTTCGGACATTCCGGGAACCCCTGCTCTTGCTGAGGGCTCCGCCTGCATAATTCTGGGGCATAACTGTCCTGTGTCCATGGGAAACCCACTCTGTTTCGTCCCGTGGTGCAGCTCCAAGGGCCAAAGGGGCCACTTGTTACTTCCCGTGGGACCTCTGGCCCAGCGCTGTGCCCACTTAAAGTAACAAGCAACAAGTGAAACGAATTTTAATAGTACCCCAATATCTCTAACATATCACCCCACAGCATGCAGTCCACAGAAAACCTCCTCCGTGCGCTATTTCATTCTTTACTAACTGGTCAGACCCCGGGGCGCATGCCCTCCACGCAGCCCGCCCCAACGAGGGCTCACGCGGGC